ACAAAATACAGGTCGCATTTACTATCCGTATGAGATGAAATTTTCCAGACAATATTTGCTTAGCCCAAGAACGAACGAAATTGGTGAGAATCGGGTCAAATTTAGTTATAGTTTGTGCACCAAATGGCAAATATCAGGCCAAATGACCTGCATTTTGGCACATCCGACTGAATTCAGTCTAGAAGCAAGTTGATGTACTTTGGTGAAAATCGTTTCAGATATATCTATAGCTCCCATATATATGTATGTCTTATCCGATATGTTGTTAAAGTCCCTCACATTCGTAATATACACTCAACAACAATGATATTTGATGCCGGGCATCAGATACAGCTCCGCCAAATTTTATCGCGATCGGCTCAGATTTTGATTCAGCTTCGATACATATCTTCATCCGATTTTACAGGTTATTGCTCATCATATATGTAATATCTGCCCAAATTGAATAGATTTTTTTATATTCAACCGATTTTTAACATTTGGTGAAACTCGGTCCGGTATGTCTATTGCAATGTTATTGGTTCATAGTTGGTATGATTTACTTCACATAAATTTTCAATATTAATATTTTTGTTACGGGAGCCGTACTAAATGCGCATAGGGGTCCTGCCCGACTTTTGACCTTTCTTTACTGGTTTTGTAATTGCTTTGTACTGTGTTTGTACAGTACACGCATTCTCTCTCGATTTTACAGTTTATTCGTCCAATTTTTGTCTTTTAATTTCATTCCTATGCACCCTAAGCTCGAGAGTGATCTTAAATACTAGTTATTAAGGAAATATAATTTTGAGTAAACCGGCATTGAATTCTAATAAATTACTGCGATTATTTGAGGTGTTATAAAATTACTTTGGCCTATAAGCTGTCCTATATTTTATTTATTACAATTATTAGAATTAAAAAATGTAAGCTTGCCTAAAACTCGATCTTGAAAATTCACGTTTTAAAAACATTTAATTGAATTTCCGTATTATATCATATTTTTTTTTAATTTTTTTAATACCATTTCGCTTAATTTAAGCTTTCAATTTTAATTCACACAATTTTAATTAAAAAAAGTTCATAAAAACCTTACGCCATCATTTCAAATCATAAAAAATTTAAACGGAAGTTATATAAATCCGGCCAACCAATGAATGGCGAAAATGATTTTTTAAACGATTTTTAGACTCCTTTACAAATGCATTTTTTGTTTGGCCGCCGATGTTGGTCTTTGAAATGAATTAAAAGGTAGCCAATTGATATGATTAGGTTTTTTTGTTATTCGTTTTGCTTTGCAATATTCGAATGCATTTGATGGGGTGAGTTGTTGTTGCTACTGCTGCTATTTTTGCGAAATTGATTTTTGTTGTTTATTTAATGGCATATTTTTTATATATTTTTTTGATTTTTTATTTCATTTCATTTTTTTTTTTTTTTGTTTTTAAAAGTTATGTTTGAAATTCGTTTTTGTATCATATCTTGTGGTAGCATAATTTTTAATGTCTTTCATTTGTTATATTTTATGTTTCCACTTAATAGGCGCCCACTAAAAAACAAAAAAGACCTTTTACTTAAATCTTTTATGTGTGAAGGGTCATTTTTTAAAAAAATCGTATACTTTTCTTTTGCTTGGCATTGTTTGCAACTCTAAAGCCATGGCGAATTTCGGGTTGTGGTTTATTTTTTTTTTAATTTTTGCTTTTGCAAAGAGTATCACCAGTCTCTTGTTTTACTCTTGAACTCCGAGGTGGTAATGTGACATCTGACCCATATGCAAAAGTGCAACTGACTTTATTGGCCTTAATAAGCAGGGGAGGCATAAGTTTAGTTTTTTTTATGGGTTTAATGTTATTTTTGTTTGTTTTGGATTGTGGGATCATTTATTTAAATGACTGGGTCACAAATGTAGTCAGATGGAGGCCTTTTGCTCCCCTGCCACAGAAGAAGCGAGGAACCCAGCAATCCATTGCAAAAAAATTTCGAAGAAGGATCCAACTACACCTTTTTCCGATGTAATTCGAAGCATTTTAATTCGAAACATTTTAATTCGAAATCGAATTTTAGAGTATATGAATTTTCGACCCTACAAAGTATATATATTCTTGATCAGCATACAATTCTATGTCGATTTAGCGATGTCCGTCCGTCTGTGGAAATCACTGTAGCTTCCAAACGATTTGAAGTAGGTTGATAAAATTTTACTCAGTTTGGTCTGCAGTAATTTTGAAATTGAAAATGGGCTATATAGGTCCTCGTTAGGTATAGACCACATATAACTGTACCTCTCTATATTCGGTATTTTGATGACTTTAGCCACATTGTTCACCGGAATTGTTTAAAAATTTCGTAATTATAATTGGTAACGGGTACTACAGCATGTGACGGAAAATTGTCTATGCAGGCCCAGGTCTTCGTACAGCCCCTAAATATCTATATTAAATATCCTATATTTGGTGATTTTAGCTAAATTATTCACCGGAATTTTTTCAAATTTCCTATTTGCATTTTGTACTTGGTACTATACTCTGTGACAGAAAACTGCTGGTCCAGGTGCACGTCTAGGTCTTCGTATAGCCACCATATAACGTCACCTGCCTATAATAGGTGTTCACCGGAATTGTCTCAAGTTTCGTATTTGAATATTATAATGGTCTATAACAAAAATTCCCTATGCAAGTCCATGTCTTCATATAGAACCATGTATGTACAGGGTGAGATAAAAAAACTGCAACAAAGACAAACGCCATAATTTTTACATTTTTTTTTTGAAAATTTTATCAAATGAAAGCAAAAAATATCGGAAATAACATCAAATTTTAAAATAAGTTTAGAATTGGTCATATTTGGCACGAATTATGACCTTCAAACGGCAAATGAAACCGTCACACGCTGCCCGAATGTTGCTCTGCGGTATTTTGGCCCAATCCCGGGGAAGCGCTTGCTTGAGGTAATCGACACTTTGGTATTTTCTAGTGCCAACCTTACCTTCCAAAATACTCCAGACACAATAGTCCAACGGATTGGTATCCGGAGATTTTGGTGACCATTGTGCGCTGGAAATGAAGCGAGGAACCTCATTTTATAACCAATCTTGGTGGCGCGTGCTGAGTGCGATGGTGCTGAGTCCTGTTGAATATCCGAGGTCTGCGGCCAAAAGGTTTTAATACATTCTCCAGAATATTTTCACGATAATATTCGGCATTTATTCTGATGCCACGGTCGATTTATACGAGAGGAGAGCGCCCATCGGCTGTTATGGCGGCCCACACCATTACCCTGGGCAGGTGCTTGAGTTCTGGTGGCCAACCGAAGGTGCACATTTTCAGCTAACCTCTTTGAGAAGTAAACACGATCATTTTGTTTGTTTACAAACTGCTGGGCAACGAATGTTTTCTCATCGGAGATCGGAGAAAACCAAATTCGGCAGTTTACCACTTTTGGCCAAGCGAAGCAACTATGTAGCTCTTTTGAATCTGTTATTTCTCTGTAGCGGTGTAAGTTCTTGAACTTTTTGGAATTTCAATGGCTTTACCCCGAGCTCATTTTTCAATATTTGCCGAATGGAATATTGCGATATGTTCAGCTCACGAGCCATATTTCGGTCACTGCGAACCATTTCTGTTGATGTTGCTGTTTTCTTCCGTCCACTTCATTGACATCGAGCTACGCTATCAGTATCACGGTAACGAGCGATGGTACGAGACACAAAAGATTTATTCAGATTTAAATGCTGGAGTGCTCTAACGATAGCCACTTGTGGTTTTCCAGCCAGATATAAAGAAATCACACTATCACGCTTGAATTCGATCAGAAAGAACTTTTTTTCTGGAAAATTCTCACCAAAATGCTTTTGTATGCTTGTACGCAATATAATGAGCTGTCACTGGAATAATTTTAACAGGTGTCGGACGAGTGGCTTTGAAATGACAGCAGTCTGAATTTGGTTGCAGTTTTTTTCATCTCACCCTGTAGGTTTTCGTTTAGGCATAGCCCCCCCTATAGCTTTACATTTCTATATTCGGTATTTTGCTGATTTCAGTGACATCATTTACCGAAATTGTTGCAAGTTCCATATTTAGAGTTCCCAATGGGTACTGCAGCCTGTGACAGAAAATTGTCTATGCAAGTCCAGGTCTTCGTATAGCTCCCATATAACAGAACCTTCCAATATTCGGTATTTTGCTGATTTCAGCGACATCATTCACCGGAATTGTTGCAACTTTCGTATTTGAAGTTCTTAATGGGTACTACAGCCTGTGACAGAAAAATTTCTATGCAAGTCCAGATCTTCGCATAGCACCTAAATATCGGTAGCTCTCTATATTGGGTAATTTGTTGATTTTAACGACATTATTCACCGAAATTGTTTCAAATTTCCTATTTGCACTTCGTAATGGGTACTAAGCCCCATTTCATAAATGCACTTCGTAATTGGTACTAAGCCCTATTTCATAAAATAGCCTATGCAGATCCATGTCTTCGTAAAGTCCACAGATAACGGTACCTCCCTATATTCGGTGTTTACCGGAATCGTTTCATATTTCGTATTTGATTATTATAATGGCCGATGACAAATATTCCCTATGCAGGTCCACGTCTTCGTATAGAACCCTATTCAAGGGTAACTCCCTACATTCGGTATTTTTAAGATTTTAACAGAATTTTTAAGGGATTTTCTTTTTTTTATTTATTTTTATTTCTTGGTTTGAAAATGTCCATATTCGTTTCAAATGGTGGAGGTTATTCAAAGTTCGGCCCTGTCCGAACTTCTTTTCTACTTATTTTTAAATAAATTAAATTTTATCTATTGGCCTCACCAAAAACTGTATGATATATTTCTGGTGCATATTTGAGCTAGGCCTTTTAGAACTTAAGATTCAATTTTTAATTTGGACAGACTGGAAAATTTTTTAAGTCAAAACCCAATTTTTCATATAAATATTTTTTATATTTTTGAGTATTTTTAATTTTTTTTTTTAATTTATTATTTTTTATTATTTTTTTCATTTTCTTTTCAGTTCTCCATTTATTTTCGGTACCAGCATTAGGATTATAATTCACCATTTAATCACACACAAAAAATAACAAAAAACATGTCACAGTTAATTGTTATAGCATTGGCCATAGTGTCAATAGCGGTCACAACATGTCGAGCACTGCCAGATGTAAGTATTGAAATTGAAAATAAAAAATAACATAAAAAATGAATCAAATTTAAAAACAAAAATAAATTACAATTTGGGGAATTTACGACACAATTATTTTTATGACAAGGTAGTTCAATGGTGCATTCCGATTGCATGAGTAATATTTTCGCATACATCAGAAATGTGCTTTTGAATACTTTTCCGCGAAAATATTCAAGAATTGTTTCTAAATTGCATTTTTTATTTCAATATCTTACAAAAAAAAAAAAAAAAAAAAAAAAAAAAAACAAAAACTAAATTGTTGTTATCAATTTTGAAATACTAGAAAATTGAGCAACATTGTAGTGGAGGGGAAAAAAGCTAAAATTAAGAAAACACTATAATTACCGGCGGATATAGAGACATACATACGCTTCAACGCACATACATACATATGTACATGTGTGTACATATGTCGGTAACATATTGAACTACGATGTCTGTTAAAAACAAATGCGGAAAGGGTTATAAAAATAATTTTTTGCAAGTCAATTGCAACGTATTGGCAAAGCAGCTTCATTGCTCCACACATAAGCGATTCGTTTATCTCCAGATAAGTTAGGTTCATTGTGACACATGAGCTTCGGTTCGTTATTTCACAGGGACTTCGATATGTTGTTCCTCTGAGAATTAATACGATTAGTTCACAACGGCTACGGTTCATTGTTTGTCAGAGGATCAGTCTCGTTCAGATTCGGCAAAGTTGCTTCGACAAAGGTGCTTCGACAAAAGAGCTTCGCTTCCTAGTTCCACAGGAGCTTCGACTTGTTCTTTCCAAAACAAATTGGGGTCATATCAGACTGAGTCTTCGTTTTCCATTGACCAGGAAGATTCTGTCCATTGTTGGGCTGGGAATTCGGTTCATCATTCCACAGAGGGTTCAGTTCATTATTTGCACAGGAGATTTGGCAAAGGAGCTTGGGCTCATAATTCTACAGGCGATCCAATATACCAACAATTGTATGTCAGATCGACTATCCAGCAAAAAAACCTCATTGCTACTTGTTGCCACTAATAACTACAGGATGAGATTAAAAAAAAACTGCAATAAAGTTAAACGCCATAATTTTTACATTTTTTTTTTTAATTTTATTGAATGAAAGCAAAAAATGTCGGAAATAGCAAAAAATTTTAGAACATGTTTTGATTTGTTCGAATTGGTCACCTTTGGCACAAATTATGACTTTCAAACGGCCAATGAAACGGTCACACGCTGCCCGAATGTTGCTCTGCGGTATTTTGGCCCATTCCCGGCGAAGTGCTTGTTTGAGGTGATCGACACTTTGGTATTTTTTAGTGCCAAACTTGCTTTCCAAAATACTCCAGACCCAATGGGATTGGTATCCGAAGATTTTTGTGGCTATTGTGCGCTGCAAATGAAGCGAGGAAGCTCATTTTGTAACCATTCTTGGGTGGCGCGTGCTGAGTGCGATGGTGCTAAGTCCTGTTGGAATGTCGAATGTCTGCGCCCAAAATGTTTGCGTGCCCAAGGCTTTAATACACCCTCCAGAATATTTTCGCGATAATATTCAGCATTTATTCTTATGCCACTATCGATTGATACGAGCGGAGAGCGACCATCGGCTGTTATGGCGGCCAACACCATCACCATGGCCGGCGCTTGAGTTCTGGTGGCCAACCGAAGACGCACATTTTCAGTTGACCTCTTTGGCAAACAAACGCGATAATTTTATTTGTTTACAAACTGCTGGACAACGAATGTTTTCTCATCGGAGAAAACCAAATTCGGCAATTCACCACTTTCGGCCAAGCGAAGCAACTCTTTAGCTCTTTTCAGTCTATTTTCTTTCTGTTGCGGTGTAAGTTCTTTCAGTTTTTGTCTTTGAATTTCAATGGCTTTACCCCGAGCTCATTTTTCAATATTTGCCGAATGGGCTACTGCGATATGTTCAGCTCACGCGCCATTTTTCGGCCAGTGCGACGCGCTTTTTTAGTTCTCGACCATTTCTACTAATGTTGCAGTTTTCTTCCGTCCTGTTCCTTGAATTTGGGCTACGCTACCAGTATCACGGTACAGGGTGAGATGAAAAAACTGTAACTCGGGTCTGCAACGAATATTTCGACATATTAAAAACGGAATGACAAATATAATACACACTCCATTGTTTGGTAGAGGGTATAAAAGCCTCGATCTATATATGCAAGACTTCTTCTAAACAATCTCTTCCAGGACCCTTCCAGTCCTATAGCAAAAACCCCTTGTACAGATTTATTTTGTTTGTCTTCTATAGCATTAATGTCATATAGAAGTCTTCCATAGCAAGAAGAACTTATACAAGTCTTCTATACATATTTCACCTTTCACAGGTGTTCTAAAGGAAAATTATTTCAAGTATTCTAAAGCTTGATCTTTTAGACCCACTCTATAATTAGAGAATTCCTTGAATGGATTTTAAGCTAGAATAAATTTTATATATCTTGTATTGCCATATGATACCTTTCAAAGGTTTGTCAGACGATGTTTTGCGAGACTTCTATTGCTGAAAGGTAATTTATAGGACTTCCAAAGCTGAAATGCATTTTACATACCTTTATATATTATAACATATTTTACATGTCCTCGAGAGGTATCATTGAGCCAGAAAACCTTTTACATTCATTATCCTCTAGGATCCCCCTTTGCTTCCCAAGGTTTTATTGATTTTATCTTCCTTTTCAGAAAACTCTTAATACTCTATTTTATACCCCTTTATATACCCTCAACTTTCAAAACCCCAACAAAAACGTTAACATTTAGAGCAAAGGTTAGATTTTGCACGTTTTTTTTTTTTTTTTTTTTTTTTTTTGTCAACGTGATGTTTTTCCTCCAGCTCATAATTGCACACATTTTTTGAAGTTCTCTACGAATACAAACAACAACAATTGCATTTTGTCAACAAAGAACAAAATGAGCTTTTGCTTTAGTTTTAAAGAAAAATAATAAAAAACCAAAAATTTTAATGGTTTCAAAAACGCGTGATTTGTCCACTACATCATTTGTAAAGAACAAAATTGCTTGGCAAGAAACGGCTTGAGACAACAATAAAGTCTAGCAGCAAGAAAAACGTCAACTAAGAAACAACGACAACAACATCAACATCAATAATTATCCAGCTACAGCAACAACAGCTCAGATGACGGATGTTGTTGTGAAATGTTCGATTTGGTTGGTATTGCTGCAACAAAAGGCCTTAATCACAAAAAAGTGGCTGGAGCTACGCTTTGCCGGCTGGCTGGTTGGCTGACGAGCTGATTTCTTGCCAAGCTGGGGTTTCTTGTTTAGCTGTTGTCTGGTCGTTGTAATTTTGTGCGCATACAAGATTCTTATTCAAACACAATTCCGTTCGTGATCATATAATGACGTTTACTACTTAATTAGAGTGGATTAATGCAGAAAAAAAGGGAAAGGTTCGACATGTTTTTTTTTTTTGAGTGGATTTAAAGGAAGTTGTAAGTGTGTTGCAGATATGTAAACTTGGAGAGTTGTTGTTGGAGAATTTTGAATAGAATTTATTTCTAATGTCAGAAGATGTAATATTTTAAATTAAATTTTCTTGGAAATTGAGGTTATTATTGTTTATACCCTACAGGGTAAGGGTATTATGTCTTTGTGCATTTTTTTCGTAACATGGAGAAGGAAGCGAGATAGACCCATATTTACTTTTAAGGATCTCCACAGAATCACTTTTTGAGTCGATTTATGCATGTCTGCCGTCTGTGCGTCCGTCCGTCAGCCTGTCCATGTGTTTTTATGAACAAAAAGCAGGTCGCATTTATCATCCGATTGAGATGAAATTTTCCACATCCGAACGATTTCAGTGTAGAAGCAAGTACATCAAATTTGGTGAAAATCGGTTCAGATCTGGATATAGCTCCCATATATATCTTCGACCGATTTCACGTTAATTGTGCACCAGATGGCCAATATCAGCCCAAATGATCTGAATTTTGGCATATCCGACTGAATTCAGTCTAGAAGCAAGTGCATCAAATTTGGAGAAAATCGGTTAAGATATTGCTATAGTTCCCATATATAAGTTTCACCCGATTTAGGGTTTCAAGTTCCTCACATCCGTAATATGCACTCCACAAGAATGATATTTGATACCGCATAACTTATGGAGCCTAGAAACACATCTGTAAAATTTTATCGAGATCGGATCAGCTTAGGATATAGCTCCCATATCTTTACCTTTATCCGATATCAGGTTTATTGTGCACCAAATGACTAATATCAGCCCAAATAGACTGAAATTTGGCAATTCCGATTGAGTTCATCCTAAAAACAAGTACATAAAATTTAATGAAAATCGGTTCAGATATAACTATAGCTCCCATATATACATACAAGGTTCTGCCATCGGAAGTAGAACCTATTATGACTTACATTTACCAATTTTTAGACAAATTCGTGGGAAAATGTGGCAAAAATCATGAAAATACCGAATATCGGGAGGTACCGTTGTATGGGGGCAACAGGAAAACGTGGACCTATACACACAATGTTCCGCCACCGGAACTAGAACCTATTATGATCTATATATACCAATTTTTAGACAAATCCGTTTAAAAATGTTGGAAAATCAGCAAAATACCGAATATCGGGAGGTACCGTTGTATGAGGCAACACGAAAACGTGGGCCTATACATACAATATTCCGCCACTGGAGCTTACACCTATTATGACCTACACACATCAATTTTAAGACAAATCCGTAAAAAATGGCAAGAATCACAAAAATACCGAATATCTGGACGTAACGTTATATGGGGGCCATACGAATACGTGGACCTATACATGCAATGTTCCGCCAGTGAAACTAGAACCCATTATGACCTACATATACCAATTTTTAGGCAAATGCGTGGAAAAATGTTGCGAAAATCCTCAAAATACTGAATATCGGGAGGTACTGTTATATGACGGCTATACCAAAACGTGGACCGATATATCTTATTTTCAATACCAACCATCCTGT